TTGCCTGCGTTCTGTATAACAGTACAACAGTATGCTGGCATCAATGTGACCACCAAAGGAAGAACTTAATACACCGTCTTCACATAACCTCATGCATCATAACCGAATACAGTCTCCCTGAATTTCTTTGAATACTTACGTAGAGGTGATCGTCCGAAACCGTTCCTGTCCAGCTGTATCCCAGATCTGAAGCTTCACCTTTTCGTCATTGACGGTAATCGTCCGTATCTTAAAGTCCACGCCGATTGTCGTAATGTAATTGGCTAAAAAAGTGGTACATCAGGAAAATTCCTGTTTAACTTAGAGAGAGAAAAAAACATCTCATACCAGAAAACGTGTTGTCCGCAAATCGAAGCAACAGGCTGCTTTTTCCAACGCCTAAACCGGAAATGTATTTTAGGCAAATAAATAAAAAAAGAAACAAAAGCACGTTGAAAGTCATTTACCGCTGTCGCCGATGATCAGCAGCTTGAACAGGTGGTCGTAGTCCCTGGGGTTGGTCATGCCCAATGACGTTCAGCCAAAACTGTGCGTTCACGAAGCCGACTATAACCATCAAGTGATAAACAATACAGAATATAAAAATGATCTGTTGAATTATTACTATTCGAAACAGTACTACTTAACTTCAATGACTCAACTTAGACGAGGGTTCGTCAGTCGGTAGAGCATCGAATTTAGAATCGAGACCCGATCAAGACGCTCGTCTACATTTTAAGTATTCTATGGGAGGAAAACAGGCGACTACACAATTTACGCAAGGTATAGCTGCTGTCGACTTTGACAAACCTATGGTACAGAAACGAAGAGCAGCGCCCCACCATCAACTTGCTCGTTTAGCATTACCAATTAACCGTTCGATTTGATTTGCTCGCTGAGTTCTTGGCATGTGACTGCAAGGATAGCCCCATATGCGAGTACCTAGCTGCCATCCTGACTAAGTCTTAAAATACTCATAACTACCACCGCTCAATACCGATACCAAGCTCACAAATGACGGTTCCACAAAGATTTCGTCTCACGCAGTACAACATAAATAAAAACAAGGAAGAAATATGACAAAGCTACGCCATGGCCGGTCCCAAGCCCGGATGAGAAAGGAGGACGGTTGGAGACCGTGGCAAGTCTCCGTAAAAT